AACAATAAGGTTTTTGCAAAGGGAGATCATACTGTGGGCAAAATCTCAATCTTACTCAGACTATAGGAGATAGATTTCAAAGGGGATGTGACATTTATTGATCTTACAGCAGCCTGTGACACAGTGAATCATAAGAAACTAATAAGAAAAATAAAGGCAATAACAAAGAATGACTAACAGTTTTTTTGCTGCTTACTTCAAAATAACTCTTCTCTTCAAAATAAAAAAAAATGTTGTTGGAGAACACCTCCCCCCTCCCCCAAAAAGGGATCCCACAAGGAAGTGTTTTGGCTGCATTACTTTATACAAATGACTAGCCTATTAATGTGAACATTAGAGTTTTGATATATACAGACAATACTGCAATCTCCGCCCAAGGCTACAACTTTGAGGAAACAGACAACCGTGACTGCTCAAAATGAACTGGGTAATTACTATGATAATTTGAAACCCAATCTTGAGAGGAAACACTTGTGTATTTCACCTAAGGAACAGGGATGCTAGGAGAAACTTGAAAATTACCTGGAGAGAGCAACAAATACTTTATTGTAATAACCCTAAATATTTGGGGGTGAAATTAGATCTCATGCTTGCTTTCAAAGTACACTGCCAAGATACAAAGCAGAAATGATGCGCTAAGAAAAATACTATTCTGAAATTGACTAGCACCCATGGGAAATACAACCTGAAATAAGTTGCAATTAAACTTTAATGCGGAAGCACTCTTATTTCCAAGTCTTTCTGTATGAAACACACCTAAAGGGAAGATCTCAAACTTACGCAGAAAAGACTTCATTTTGAACAACATGCTGGCAATAGTAACATATTTGAAAGAAAAACGATACATTTAGAATCTCCCCATTCAGTTTTTTTATTTCATGCCTTTAGCAGTGTAAAACTGTGATTGAGTGTAAAACTATGTAAAACTGTGATGGCTGCATTTCTGGATCCCCGTTTTCTTCTATTTAACCTATTGTTTTGTGCTTATTTTACTTATTTTCCAACTCCAGAACATCTTATATAAAAAACAGAAAATATATTTAAAATTAGTATAATAATTTAAGAAAACTTTCAATAACTCCATAAGGGGTATAAAAATTAAACACAGAGGGAATTTAAACACTTATGTGACTTTATATTTTTGAAGCCCAGAAAGTAGCTGCTTTTATATATCATTCAGCAATCTTAAAATTTAGATTATATATTTGCCATATAAAACAAGACTAGGTTGTTTTCAAATATCCAAGCCTAAGTGAAGGAGGTTGAATAACCATCAACCAATCACAGTCCATTTCCAAAGCAGATCTGATACTAGGTTATACATGCCCCGTGGATGATTTTATTAGATTTATTGAAGGAATGTAAATTCTAATACAATACTCCTAATTCTGCCTCAATTTTCAAGGATTTTTATGTTACTTTATATTCTAATCCTAACCAGAGTCCTTCACACAAATAAATTACTTAGCCTTTAAAACTCTTTTTCCCACCCAGGTCTCCAATGTCAGTATCAGAAATCAAATCTATCATTTTTAAATTGACTGTTTCCTAGTATGATTTGATTGCTTATTGTTCCTATGACTATTATTAAGTGCTGGATCTTATGATTGACTCTTGATTAATGTATATCTTCTTTTATGTACACTGAGAGCATATGCACCAAGACTTATATGTCCTTGTGTGTCCAATCACACTTGGCCAATAAAGAATTCTATTCCATTCTAAATTTTAAAATCTAATAAGGTACCTGAAGATGATGTTATACTCTCAGAACCTTTTTAGACTCATATTGATTTTTGGGCCCCACTGTTAGCAGGGTCATTTCACCCATATAAATGATGCAGATTGCATTCCAGTTGGATGCAAAGTTGCCATTACAGCCTCTTGTGGGAAGAAATATCCATCTGGTTCAGTTCCAAGCTGGGATAAAGACACTGGAAACATGGAGACTGATTGGAAAGAGGGTTTAATGGTGAACAGAACCATCAAGCACATGGTCCTGGTGCAGCTGACCACATGGAATTGAGAATGAGGATTGGTTATACCTTCTCTTGGGCCTTGCCAATGAGCTTTCTGTTCCTGTGCAAGAAATGTATTCTATTGACTGTAGTCAGACTCCCATGGGGAGTCTGAATCAACTTTGGGTGAAGTGTGCTGATGCAATGAAGGGGCTTGTTGAGCAATTCCAATTTAGTTGCAGCTGGGTTGGGCCAGTATCTCGGGGTGGAGAGCAGGTTGCGTGTCTCCCCAAGCGACTGAGGCATACCCAGCACCAAGAAGGGCCAGAAGAAGCTCCAGCAAGGATGAGGCGCCGGAGAATCAGCCACGGCCATTTCTCCATCCCCCGCCATTGCTCTTACCTTCTTAGGCCAGGCGAGGAGTGACGGAGGGGAGGGGGAGGGGCAGGGCCAGCCAGTGATGGGACAGGGAGCTACAACAGAGGGCCCAAAGAGCTGCATGCGGCTCTGTAGGCGCGGGTTGCCGACACCTCACCAATATAAAAAGGAGACAAGGAGGAACCAAAATACAGTGGACCGATAAGCCTCATTGGAATTGTAGCTAAAATGTATGAAAAACATCTGTTGAGTAAAATAAAAGATTGAGTAATGGAAATAAATATTTTAGTGGAGGAACAAACTGGATTCAGACTGCAGCATATCATACTAGACAACTGTTTTGACTTGTACCATCTCATAACAAAACAAAACATAAGGTGTCAGATAGGGCTATTCTAGCCCCAATGCTTTTAATTTGTATGTGAATGATTACTAGATTTCCTGTATGTCAAAGATCCTTGACAAATTAATATCCTTCCATACACCAATAACATGGTTCCAATGGCCTGAGAAGACTGCTGCAAAAGCTAAATATCTACTTTGCTCTTAATTCTTTAAACATCAGTACAACCAAATCTTAAGTAATGGCATTTAGCATAAAAAGTGTGAAATATAACTGGTAGATAAATGAGGAGCCTACTAAGCAAGTAAATTCTTTTAGCTAACTAGGGGTGGGTTTTTTTACCAGTACTGGGCCATTGTTAAATCATTTTAAAACAAGCCTGGCAAGGGCCAAATAAGTACTAAAAGATTATACAAATTATTTAAGCTCAATTACCCAGTTACCTTGATCCCTATACTGAAAGTATTCAGGGCAAAAATAGTCTCAATGCTGATTGTGGTGCAGAATTGTGGGGCCTTAATAAAGTTACGCCATTTAAATAAGTTCAGACCATTTTAAAAAGATGTGTATTGGGTAAAAACACATGGTCAGAGTGAAAAAAAGGTATCCATTTCCCACATAGCCATCTGAAACTAGTTTTCACATACAAGGGAGAATATGACGGCAGAATATTCATTTACTGGACTTTGATAGACTTCTCAAAATATGCCCATTAGACCAGATAAGTATGCCCCAGCCAAATTCTACAGTCAACTTTCCAGTTATTTCACAGCATGGGTTTTCTATTCAGCAATGGCAAGGGAAACTACTTAAACAGCGAATCCTCAATATTAGTGCTCAAATCAACCTGGAATTATTGGCTAAATAGATTGCTAAATTGGTTGATTAATAATAAAATAATTTTAATCTGAAAAAATACTTGTCATTGAATCTGACACAATCTTCAGGAAGAGTCTATTTAAGGACAAGATTTGAGTTATTGGAATCCATAGCTAAATATGGGCACTTCCAGTAATTGCCATATTTTAAGAGAGCCTGCATATGAGATACCCCAGCCATTGAAAACATTTCTCATCTTTCATTTTTCTGTCTATGGTTCCTATAGAGATGTTAAGGTATTTCAACCATCAGGCTTAAATACTTAATATCCATTTTGGAAGGAAGAATCCCCTGGGATCCGAACCACAGATTGTCATATTTCCTCCTAGTCTGAAACATATGTAGAATTGCTAAATTTATTACTAAGGCAGTCAGCCTACAAATCCAATATATAGAACAAATTGGGGTCTCCCACAAGGGAGATTCATTTATCTATTCATTTACTATTTTGCTGCAAAAGAACACTTATATTTTATCACTTTAATAATTGTATTCTATCTTATTCCAAAATTAGATAATGTAGTATATTTTATTTTATTGATATGGTTGCAATACTAATCAGTAAATAAGCAAATACCGGTACTGTGTTATCTCTTACTACTATAAAGAAAATATTAGGATAAATAATGATACTCTGTTAGATATGCCTAACCAATGAATGTATCCTATGGAAGATTTCCATCTATTCATCCTTAAGGTGACCATCTCCTTTTCCTTGTCACTTACTCCTACTTACCCTACCAAGTCTATGGAGAAGTTCATCTCAAAGTTAGACATTGTCCTGTCCTCACAGGGCATTAAAATTGGTTTCACTGTTGTGAAAGGGAACTGTTTTAAAATTAAAAAAACATCCATACTTCCCATTAGCAAAAGTCACAAAATCATACTTTATATATAATATGTCTGCTAAGTCACATTAAACTACAGACTGACCAAATTTTGATGTTCTTTGAATTCAAGCCTATATGCTTATTTTTTAGTGTCATAAATTAGGGCTATCAAATCTGGGCTGCCAAAATCTGGACTATCAGATACAGAGATAAATTTAGGAATTCTTTGCTGCCATCTAGTGGTCAATTTATCTACTTACCTTAGTTAAACCTTTTAAAAAGATTGTGTAAACAGATAATGCTTGATTTACAATCGCAATTGAGGCCAGAATTTTTATTGTTAAGCAGGGCAGTTGTTAAATGAGTCATACCCAACTTTGCAACACTTTTTGCTATGGTTGTTAAACAAATCACTTGTAGTTGTTAAGTTAATAACATGTTTGTTAAGCAAATCTGATTTCCCCATTGATTTTGCTTGTAAAAAGCCAGTTGGGAAGGTTGCAAATGGCAATCACATGACTCTGGGACGCTGCTACCATCATAAATATGCCAATTGCCAAGCACCAGAATTTTGATCATGTGATGTGGGAATGCTGCAAAGTTTGTAAATGTGAGTAGCAATTGTAAGTCACTTTTTCCAGTTCCATTGTAACTTCAATAGTTAAATAATGATTGGAAGTTGAGGGCTACCTGTACACAGCTTTAGTCAGAAAAAAATTATCACAAATTTTTCAAAAGTCTGAATCTGGAGAATGTACAAACTCATCCTGATATACCTGCTTTTCTAAAGTTTAGTTTCTTTAAAGTAATATTAATTACTGGATGCACGTAGTGAACCATTTCAGTTTTGATTTAACTCTTTTTTAAAAACGTATCCAGCCATCTTATTTTTCTTCTGTGATTAAAGCCTTAGATGTTAAACTGTTGAACATTTAGAAAGAAAATCTTGTGGCACCTTTTAGATTTACTAAAATCACAAACTTCAATGGATTTTCTTCTCTGCACTCTCATTATAGCCAATTTAGAGTGCAATCCTATGGATCTCTACTTAGAAAAAAGCTCCAAGTTCAAGGCACTGACTTCCAAATATAGGCAGTCCCCAACTTATGACAATAGTTAAGTTTGGCAATTATGGTAATCAATCTTGATGGTAATGAAGCAGATTGTCACATGATCTTTTTTGAAGTGGTTGTTAAAAATAGACTATGATCATAAATAAATGCAGAAGTCATTAAGCAAACCCATTGTTTACTCTTGGGGAGACTTTTTTGGAAACTGGAAGTAAACACTGGTTTCAGAAAAAAAATAACTTAGACCCTACAAACAGCTGTAAATGTGGTCTGGTTGCTGAGTATCCAAAATGTGATCATGTGACTACGAGAGAATAGCCATCTTAGCTTTGAAATCAGATCATAAGATGAGGACTACATGTAAGTTTGAACATGTAAGCTTGTAAGTATATGACTGCAGTTTCAGCTATTTCAAAGTAAGTGCTTGTGGCTTAAGACTCAGACTTTATTTAAATGCACTGTGCAATATAATACATAAAACATCCTCTGAAATTATAGAGTTGTGCCTTTACTCATTTGAATAATTTATATTCTATTCTTCATCTGAAAACTCTTTTCATGCAGAACAAACCACAAAGATCCCTATCTCTCAAAATTCAAATCCAAATCATGATGCCTTTCCTCAGCAGAATGACTAGAAAAAATTGCTCAAAATGTTCACATTGTTCTATGTTACTTTTACTTTGTTTAAACTTCCTTTTTATCTCTATTTTTTATAACTGGGAGCAGCCTAAAATAGCCCATAGTGAGATAGGTGACAAAGAAATTTAATAATATTTTTTAAAGGAAATAAAGAAAAACAAGGTTAACCTGAATGACAAGGTAGAAAATTAATAGGATGAGTCAGGCATTTAATAAAACTTGATAAAGATCTGATGTATTTCTAAACCTGAGCTAAAGATGATGCATGGAAATACTTAGGAGCAATGGTGAATATTTGCTTTTTAACCTTCTTGTTAAAAATCATTGTGTTCCATCTTCTACTTCCAGGAGTTCATCAAGGTATTCTACTACTTCACCCTAGGATATGTTATCACAAAAGACAGATTAATATTTAAAAAGTTTAGTTTTTGACACAAATTTCTATTTTTTTAATAAAAATATAGAATTGACATTAATGCTGGAATGATTAATCTTCTGCCCAGAAAACAGAGTTCTAGTTTCACATTAGGCATGAAAGCTGATGAGTGACCTTGGCCTATCACTTTCTCCCAATTTCTGAAAGGCCCTTTATTGTTTTGAATTTATTTAAAACTTTCAAATGTAAAACTTTGAAAAGCTAGGCAGACAACTTGACACCATAAATGAAACAAAGACTAGAAAAAGCAAAATGGCAATTACTATGGCAAAAAAGTTACTTTTCCTTATATCTCTTTGATCTATCAAGAGATAATTGGAAATCATGCGTAATTAGTTACATGCATTATACACTGCTCAAAAAAAATAAAGGGAACACAAAAATAAGACACCCTAGATCTGAATGAATGAAATATTCCTATTAAATACTTTGTTCATTACATAGTTGAATGTGCTGACAACAAAATCACACAAAAATTATCAATGGAAATCAAATTTAGCAACCCATGGAGGTCTGGATTTGGAGTTACACTCAAAATTAAAGTGGAAAAAAGCACTACAGGCTGATCCAACTTTGATGTAATGTCCTTAAAACAAGTCAAAATGAGGCTCAGTAGTGTGTGTGGCCTCCATGTGCCTGTATGGCCTCCCTACAATGCCTGGGCATGCTCCTGATGAGGTGGCGGATGGTTTCCTGAAGGATTTCCTCCCACACGTAGACTAAAGCATCCCCAAACTCCTGGACAGTCTGTGGTGCAATGTGGCATTGATGGTTGGAGCGAGATATGATGTCCCAGATGTGCTCAATTGGATTCAGGTCTGGGGAACGGGCGGGCCAGTCCATAGCATCAATGCCTTCATCTTGCAGGAACTGCTGACACACTCCAGCCACATGAGGTCTAGCATTGTCGTGCATTAGGAGGAACCCAGGGCCAACCGCACCATCATATGGTCTCACAAGGGGTCTAAGGAGCTCATCTTGGTACCTAATGGCAGTCAGGCTACCTCTGGCAAGCACATGGAGGGCGGTAATGGTGTGGCCCCCTAAAGAAATGCCATCCCGCACCATTACTGACCCACTGCCAAATCAGTCATGCTGGAGGATGTTGCAGGCAGCAGAATGCTCTCCACGGTGTCTCCAGACCCTGTCACGTCTGTCACATGTGCTCAGTGTGAACCTGCTTTCATCTGTGAAGAGCACAGGGCGCCAGTGGCGAATTTGCCAATCTTGGTGTTCTCTGGCAAATGCCAAACTTTCTGCACGGGGTTGGGCTGTAAGCACAATCTTCACCTGTGGACATCGGGCCCTCATACCACCTTCATGGATTCTGTTTCTGACCGTTTGAGCAGCCACATGCACATTTCGGGCCCGCTGGAGGTCATTTTGCAGGGCTCTGGCAGTGCTCCTCCTGTCCCTCCTTGCACAAAGGCAGAGGTAGCGGTCCTGATGCTGGGTTGTTGCCCTCCTACAGCCTCCTCCACGTCTCCTGATGTACTGGCCTGTCTCCTGGTAGCACCTACATGCTCTGGACACTGACAGACACAGCAAACCTTCTTGCCACAGCTCGCATTGATGTGCCATCCTGGATGAGCTGCACTATCTGAGCCACTTGTGTGGGTTGTAGACTCCATCTCATGCTACCACTAGAGTGAAAGCACTGCCAGCATTCAAAAGTGACCAAACCATCAGCCAGAAAGCATAGGAACTGAGAAGTGGTCTGTAGTCACCACCTGCAGAACCACTCCTTTATTGGGGATATCTTGCGAACTGCCTATGCTTTCCACCTGTTGTCTATTCCATTTGCACAACAGCATGTGAAATTGATTGTCAATCAGTGTTGCTACCTAAGTGGACAGTTTGATTTCACAAGAAGTGTGATTGACTTGGAGTTACATTGTGTTGTTTAAGTGTTCCCTTTATTTTTCTGAGCAGTGTATTTTACAGTCTATTTCTCTGTCATTAAATGTCACTATATAATACAGGTAGCCCTCAACTTACAACCATTCACTTAGTGGCCATTTGAAATTGTAATGGTATTTTTAAAAAGTGACTCATGACTGTTTTTCACACTTACAACCATTACAGCATCCCCTGGTTACATTTGTCAAACTTTAGATGCTTGGCAACTGGCATGTATTTATGAAGGTTGCTGTTTACAGAATCATGTAATAAACTTTTTGTGACCTTCTGACAAGCAAAATCAATGGGAAAGCCAGATTCACTTAATAACTGTGTTACTAACTTAACAACTGCAGTGATTCATTTAACAATTGTGGCAAAAGCACATCAAATAGGGTAAATTTCATTTAATAACTGTCTTGCTTAGCAACAGAAATTTTGGACTTAATTGTGGATGAAGTTAAGAACTACCTATAGGCATGGAGAAATATTGAAAAAATATTGTGTTTTAATTTCCACAAGTCAATTCTTAAAAGCAGGCAGAAGCAGAAAAAAGCAAGGGGAAGGTCATTACCAACATATAATTTGATCCGTAGTTTATTTTAAAATATTAATTTGCTTTAATCTGCTTTACTTACTTCTTCATCATCCATCACATACTCTTTAGCAAATTCATACATTTCTTTGTGTAGCATTGTTATGTTGTAATATCGAATGGCTTCCTAGAAGAAGAGTAGCAAAACAATGTGTCATATTAAAATCCAAACTATATGAAGTCTCAAGGTCAACACAGCAAGCCTGGAAAAAATAAACCTATTCTTATACTGTATATCAATTGCTTCTAATCATGCTATTCCAGAAGTCTAGAATTTTTGATAGACTTGTAAGCCAATCAAACAGAATGTGCTACTTTTCCTTCTAGGCCAACATTTACTTACAGCTCTAGGGTGGAAATCTTCATCTGTGAGTCCCCATTTATCTTTATGGTATTGGTAATAGACAAGATTCTGTTTCATCACTTCATCTTTCTGGTCGAAAAGCATGTAAGTAGCAACACATGGAGCTGCATTCTTCAAATCATTCACTGAATTAAATATGCAATAAATCAAGTCAACTTCTCAGAAAGGTAGTATTATAACAACATACAGTATACAAATATATTTTATTAACACTTCCATCTGAAATCATATGTCATGGCTGAAATGAGATGCATGTTCTCAACTAAAAATATTCCATTAATTAAAAAGAAATATCCCATGTTAGCCTTAATATCATTATTATGAGATATGTATTCTTTCTTCTTTTCTTCTGCCTTTTTAATTTCATTTTGATAATGGTAATGTGTAACAATTCTTCTATATATAGATAAAGCTAGTGGTAAGAGCTCCTCTCTCTGTACATAAGAAATAATGAATCATTTAGATCATTTCTATGTAAAGCAAAGTGAGCACTCTTTTCATAGTGCCTTTAGGAAAAAACAAAGGGATTATAATATATCATCCAGGGCAGAAGATATAATTCAACTAGCAAAACTATTTTCTTCACAGCCAGTATCTATTGAGTAGTGTTGGGCTTCATGTTTTAATGACCATGGTCTAGACTAGGTCGCCAACTGGTGCTCCATGGAACACTGGTGGTCCATGAGAACATTTTGGTAGTCCGCAGCGCACCCATGTCTGCAACAGGGATGATACTCACAGTGGATGGATTGATGTGTGTGGGAGGGGGGTAGCATGTGGGAGATTACATTGTGGAGCCCTTCCTGGGTTTTCCCTGGCCTGCGAGGGAAGGACACGATTTCCCGCATCCCTCCCCTAAGGAGCTGCAAAGCACTCGCTGCCCCTCTGGCAGCCACCAAGCCTCCTCCCACCATGCTTCTCTCCCTCCTCACCAGAAATGCTCACACGCCCAGCAGGGGGAAGGCTTGGCGGTGCCAGAGGGACAGTGAGCGCTTTGCGGCTCCTGAGGGGAAGGGTCGAGCCTCCCCCTTGCAATGTCTTCACCTGAGGGCATCACTGGCAGCAGCTTTTTGTGGCTCAGGAAGTCTGCGCTCTTCCCACTGATGCTTGGCCTCCTCAAGGCGCAGAAGCAGGAGGCTGCAGCCATAACACAGGTTTGCTAGGGAGACTGCAGGATTGCCCCATCTCCCTGCCAGCCATTTGGTCTTCAGCATGTGGCTCGTCAGCCTCTGTACATTAGATTCTCACCACCCAGCACCAGTTAAGAGGTTCCTTTCCCCACACCCCCATGTGACCAGAGAGAGTGGGGAAGAGAGACAGAAAGACAGAGAAAGAGGGGGATAAGAGAGAGAAAGGCAAGATAAAGAAAGAGGGAGAAAGAGAGAGGGAAAGAGAAAGACAAGACACACAGAGAGGGAGGGAGGGAGAAAGGTGTGTGTGTGTGTGTGTGTGTGTGTGTGTGAGAGAGAGAGAGAGAGAGAGAGAGAGGGAGGGAGAGAGAGAGAGATGAGATGATCCCGGTGTTTTGTTTTCTGTGGGAAACGGGTCCAAATTACTCTTTGAGTATTTAAAGTTGCAGAAACAGGCAGCCAAGCTAAGTGCCTGAAGGACCCCATCCTGTCAGTGGGAGTCCAAGTGCTTCAGCAAGCGGCATGCTGGATTCATATTAGTGGTGTACGGGATTTAAAATTATGAATTTGGTGGTCCCTGAGGTTCAAAAGGTTGGAGAGCCCTGGTCTAGACAACATTTCTGACCAGTCAAAATGACTATTCAAAATCAGACACAACAAAGAACTAATCAGACACCAGCCCACACCAACTTGCACAAGTTGGAAACTAGCTTGGCTAAAGACCAAATGTAAGTCAGGGCACCTGGCAAAAATGACAGGTCCCTGCTCAGTTGTCTGTGGTAGTCAGTAAACTCTGAAGCTCAAACTGCCTATAACTTGTAAAAATGGCAATATGTACTAATGGTATATGAATAGTAATAAACAGCACAGTATCACATTAATTATAACGAATAACTGACAGACTCTAATCCAGTATTCATGACATCAATATCTTAGATTTCTGAAATAACCATGCCTTAACAAACTTTTGGAAAGCCATGCATATTGGGGGGGGGGGGGGGGGATCTTCACAGGCAAATGATTCTATAGTAGAGACTCCTGTAAAAAAAGAACACCTACATTTGTACTGCTTTCCACCAAGAGCAGACAAAATTGTGGATACGATTACATAATTGAAGCCCCGTTACTCTTAATAAACATTTATGGAAAAACAAGAACAGGAGGCTTCAATTGCATCTTGACTTTTTAGCTAGTGTCAGTTTCAGCTTAAGAATAAAACTCTTAACTTACATTTATAATAGGCAAACTGCAAGTAGTGATACATAGTAGCCACAAATTTTTCCACAACGTAGCCCCCTATGACAGGTGTCAGATCAATTTCACATCTCAGTTTGCACTTAAGAACTTCAGTATAGTGATCTAAAAATAAAATCTGAACATTACTTAACTTACTAATTCACCTTGAAAATGTCAGGTTGACTATAAAAAACAATACTGTAAATTTAGAAAATGTACAACACTTGAAGCTTGAAAGTCAGTAGGATATGACAATGTTTAACTTTTGGGGATGAATAAAATACTTAATAAACAAATGAGCATACATTCTCAAAATCACCTGACACTGGTATGACAAATTCCTAGAACAAGTCATCAGTAGTTTAACTATTAAAGATAATTTTTAATGTATTAAGACTATGCAGGGTTTCAAATGCAGAGTTACAGAAAATGCCACAGAAAAAGGACATTAAGTTAAAAATGGATATAATTAAACATAAAATGGCTCTAATAGAAAAAAAAGAATTAGCATAGAAAATCAGAAGTGTGAAACAGAACTACTTTGAAGATGCAAATAAACCAGGTAGATGGTTAGCATATAAATTGAGAAAAGAGAAAGAATCAAGGAAAATATTGCAATTAATAGATGACCAAGGCCAAGTTTGCTATGGTAGTAAAGAGAAGAAGGAAATCATATGAGACTATTATGGGAAACTATACACACAAGAGAATATTGATGAGGAAAGAGTTAAACAGTACTTACAGAATGCTAATCTACCCCAGATACCTAAAGAGATTGAAACAATGTTAGAAAGCAATATAATGATGATGGAGTTAACTGAAGCACTCAAGAAGCAAAACAATGGAAAGGTACCAGGCCCAGATGGACTTCCGGAGGAATTTTCTAAAACACTACAAGAATCATTGAACCTTCCATTGCTAGAAGTTACGAAGTTATGTTAAAGAAGAAGATACCCAATTCATGGTCAGAAGCTTATATTACACTTGTCCCAAAAGAGGACGCCGATCCATTACAAATCAAGAATTATAGACCTATTTACTTACTAAACACAGATTATAAATTTTTTGCTTCAATATTGGCAGAAAGACTTAAAAAATACTTAAACAATTTTATCCATCCTGATCAAAATGGATTTCTGCCAAAGAGACAAATTAAAGATAACATGAGAGTAATCTTGGACACTTTGGAATACTACGAGGCACACCCTGAAAAACAAATGGCTTTGATATTTTTAGATGCACAGAAAGCATTTGATAATGTGAATTGGTGATTAATGTTATTACAGCAGGAACAGATGGGCTTTGCTAAAAAATTTATTCAAGCAATAGAAGCTATATATCATAAGCAAACGGCAAAGGTAATGATAGAGGGAGAACTGACAGACTCTATTGATATAAGAAAAGGAACAAGACAAGGGTGCCCGCTATCACCTCTGTTGTGTTAACCATGAAAGTGCTAAACAGAAATATTAGAGAAGAAAAGGATATAAAAGGGATGAAAATTAGAAAGGAAGAATTTAAATTGCAAGCATTCGCAGATGATCTGGTTTTCATTTTAGAAGACCCACTAGAAACAACATCAAAATTGATAGAAAAGATAGAGGCATATGGAAAGGTGGCTGGTTTGAAAATAAATAAAGATAATAAGACAAAGATCTTGACAAAGAATATGCTATCAAGACAAAAGGAAGAACTGGCAGATCTACTGAAAATTCAGGTCACGAATAAGATCAAGTACTTGGGGATACATTTGACAGCAAGATGTAGTACACTAAAAGAGAATAATTATATCAAACTGAAGCAGCAGACAGCACTAGATTTGGCGAAATGGGAAAATTTACAACTGTCATCGATCAAGATGAATATATTACCCAGAATTTTATATATGTTCCAAACAATTCCAGTTAGGCTTGGAAAAGATTATTTTGAAGATTTAGATAAAATTGTATTG